TAAGGGTAAACAGCAATTTCACATACTACTTTCAAAGTATAGTAGTTTACTTTCTGAAAATGTTTTCTTAAGGTTCAATACACCTTAAAACTTAATACACGTTTCATTATTTTTAACTTTTTTATTTGAAAAGTTATGCATTTTCATGATTAAAAAATCTACTTTTGATGTAGATAATATGAAACATTAACCCGCATGTAACTGGTAAAAATAATGTACCTTAAAAACTGTCTAGTATTTAATACACCTGGAGGAAGTCAACTCTTGCAGTACAGCTTAGATGGTAATTATCAGCTCTAGTGAACATTTGGTCTAAAAACTAAATACTTGTACCATACATTGTTTGATATTCACACAGCTGTCACCAACAATTTAAATGCAATGAAACTTTAACTTATGATTGAATTTTTTCTTCAGTGCTTATTTACAACCATACATATTGCAATATAGCTAACATTTTCTCTACTACTATTAACTCTTTCAGGGTTTCTGACTTACTAGTACGGCTTACGCACCAGAGTTATTGACGTACTAGTACGCCTAAACTCTAGTGCCTTCAAATATAGTGAGAAAGCTGGTAGACCTACATATGAAAGAATGGGTCTATGTGGTCAGTGTGCACAGTATAAAAAAAAAAATCCTGCAGCACACAGTGCATAATGAGAAAAAAAACTCCGTCTGTTTTTGGTTTAAAATAGCGACTTTGCACTGTATTTTCGTTTGGTATTTATGGTTGTATTTTAGTTTTCCTGGTCTCATTTTATAGAATGGAAGACATATTACAGAAATTGAGATGATTTTGATTGGTTTCATAATGAAAAGTACCTTGAAATTGAGCTCAAATTAGCAGAAATGTTCGACTTTTACCAAAGTTCAAAAGTAAACAAATCATGCCAAGCGTCCAATACACGTCAACTGGCGAGTCTAATATTCTTTCACAAGTGCGCTGATATTATTTATACCATTTCTACACTAATGCAGTAGTCTGCATAACAGTAAATCTTCTACCTTTTGAGAGAATAAAAATTCAAAGTGGAAAGCAAGAGAGATGTATGAGGGGCCTGGGGACATGACTAATGAACAGAGAAAATGTTATTTTAGTGCCAGGAATGTCTGTCTTTTTTATTCTGGACCCTATTTGGAAATTGGCATCTTCTGAAATGTGTGAAATTGGCAAAATTGCCAATTTCTGACCACTTTATTGGATAGTTGAAATCAGTAAATGGGTGGTTTCTTGTACTCCTTCAATAGAAAAAATGGAGTTCTAGGAAAATAGATATGATTTTTGTCAACTAGTACACTGGAATTGGCCGAAAATAGGGCTCAAAGTGGGTGAAATCACCAATATGTAAACATCATCGAGACCACTAACTTTGCGAGAGCATAATTCTGTAAGTTTTCCATCAAATTTGATACTTTTGGTGTCATTATGATCAGGAAAAGATTCTCTATCACTTCATAAGAAAATAATTTTTTTTTTTTCCGAAAAATTTTCGACCCTTAGAACGAGTTTAGGAGAGGGCCTCTCGATCTTGAAAGGGTTAAGGAATACTATGGTGAGAAGATCGCACAAGAGATACCTTTTACTCTTAAAAGTCTGACTCCATTCATCATCTCATCAACTGATATAATGATACACCAGACATGCTTCAGAACTCCTTACAATTTTGGCATTTGTATTTTTAACTATTTTGGTATTAACACACATGTATATGTGACAACTTAGTTGTTGCAAAGATAATTGGCTCAAGTCAGCTTTTTTTTATTTCAATACTCTGAGGCATTCTCACTCATTCACTCACACACACACACACAATAGAGCGATGGTGAGAGCAATAGAGCGATGGGTGACACACTGGCTAGAGTGGCCAGAAGAGCTCATGCATGCAGGGCAAAGCTCCTGATCATGGGTGACTTTAACCACAAGGAGATCGATTGGGAGAGCTTGGACCCACATGGGGGCCAAGATACATGGAGGGCTAAGATGATGGAGGTGGTACTGGAAAACTTCATGTGCCAACACGTAAGGGACACTACAAGAGAGAGAGGAGAGGATGAACCAGCAAGGCTGGACTTAGTATTCACCTTGAGTAGTGCAGACATTGAGGACATCACATATGAAAGACCCCTTGGGGCCAGTGACCATGTGGTTTTAAGCTTCGAATACACAGTAGAGCTACAAGTGGAGGGAGAAGCAGGAAGGCCAGGACGAATGAAGCCAAACTACAAGAATGGGGACTATACAGGAATGAGGAACTTCCTGAATGGGGTTCAGTGGGACAGAGAACTGGCAGGGAAGCCAGTTAATGAGATGATGGAATATGTAGCAACAAAATGCAAGGAGGCTGAGGAGAGGTTTGTACCCAAGGGTAACAGGAATAATGAAAAAGCCAGGATGAGCCCATGGTTTACCCAAAGGTGCAGGGAGGCAAAAACCAAGTGTGCAAGGGAATGGAAGAAATATAGAAGGCAAAGGACCCAGGAGAATAAGGAGAGCAGTCGTAGAGCCAGAAACGAATATGCACAGATAAGAAGGGAGGCCCAAAGACAATATGAAAACGACATAGCAGCAAAAGCCAAATCTGACCCGAAACTGTTGTACAGCCACATCAGGAGGAAAACAACAGTCAAGGACCAGGTAATCAGGCTAAGGAAGGATGGAGGAGAGACAACAAGAAATGACCGTGAAGTATGTGAGGAACTCAACAAAAGATTCAAAGAAGTGTTCACAGAGGAGACAGAAGGGGCTCCAGAAAGACGGAGAGGTGGGGCACACCACCATGTGCTGGACACAGTGCACACAACCGAGGAAGAAGTGAAGAGGCTTCTGAGTGAGCTCGATACCTCAAAGGCAATGGGGCCAGATAACATCTCCCCATGGGTATTGAGAGAGGGAGCAGAGGCACTATGTGTACCCCTAACAACAATATTCAATACATCTATCGAAACAGGGAGATTGCCTGAGGCATGGAAGACAGCAAATGTAGTCCCAATCTTTAAAAAAGGAGACAGACATGAAGCATTAAACTACAGATCAGTGTCACTGGCATGTATAGTATGCAAAATCATGGAGAAGATTATCAGAAGAGTGGTGGAACACCTAGAAAGGAACGATCTCATCAACAGCAGCCAACATGGTTTCAGGGACGGGAAATCCTGTGTCACAAACCTACTGGAGTTCTATGACATGGTGACAGCAGTAAGATAAGAGAGAGAGGTGGGTGGATTGCATTTTCTTGGACTGCAAGAAGGAGTTTGACACAGTTCCACACAAGAGATTGGTGCAAAAACTGGAGGACCAAGCAGGGATAACAGGGAAGGCACTACAATGGATCAGGAATACTTGTCAGGAAGACAGCAGCGAGTCATGGTACGTGGCGAGGTGTCAGAGTGGGCACCTGTGACCAGCGGGGTCCCACAGGGGTCAGTCCTAGGACCAGTGCTGTTTCTGGTATTTGTGAACGACATGACGGAAGAAATAGACTCTGAGGTGTCCCTGTTTGCAGATGACGTGAAGTTGATGAGAAGAATTCACTCGATCGAAGACCAGGCAGAACTACAAAGGGATCTGGACAGGCTGCAGACCTGGTCCAGCAATTGGCTCCTGGAGTTCAATCCCACCAAGTGCAAAGTCATGAAGATTGGGGAAGGGCAAAGAAGACCGCAGACGGAGTACAGTCTAGGGGGCCAGAGACGACAAACCTCACTCAAGGAAAAAGATCTTGGGGTGAGTATAACACCAGGCACATCTCCTGAAGCGCACATCAACCAAATAACTGCTGCAGCATATGGGCGCCTAGCAAACCTCAGAACAGCATTCCGACATCTTAATAAGGAATCATTCAGGACCCTGTACACCGTGTACGTTAGGCCCATATTGGAGTATGCGGCACCAGTTTGGAACCCACACCTAGCCAAGCACGTAAAGAAAAAAGAGAAAGTGCAAAGGTTTGCAACAAGACTAGTCCCAGAGCTAAGAGGTATGTCCTACGAGGAGAGGTTAAGGGAAATCAACCTGACGACACTGGAGGACAGGAGAGATAGGGGGGACATGATAACGACATACAAAATACTGAGAGGAATTGACAAGGTGGACAAAGACAGGATGTTCCAGAGATTGGACACAGTAACAAGGGGACACAGTTGGAAGTTGAAGACACAGATGAATCACAGGGATGTTAGGAAGTATTTCTTCAGCCACAGAGTAGTCAGTAAGTGGAATAGTTTGGGAAGCGATGTAGTGGAGGCAGGATCCATACATAGCTTTAAGCAGAGGTATGATAAAGCTCACGGCTCAGGGAGAGTGACCTAGTAGCGATCAGTGAAGAGGCGGGGCCAGGAGCTCGGACTTGACCCCCGCAACCTCAACTAGGTGAGGTGAGTACACACACACACACACACACACACACACACTAATAAGACATACCTACTCATAATTAGAGATAATTTTGTAAAGTTATGTCATTTTTTCTTCCTATGTATGTAGTGGTCTGAACTTTTTCCTGCTAGTTTCCTACTATTCTATTAACTTGTGCAGGCTCAATATTATGGCAGCCAGATCACTTACACATTCTTATATATTACATTAATTAGTCCCTATTTCACAATTAGTGCTATGTTTAATTTTTATCTATAATTTAGTTTATCAAATTCAACATTAAACTAAAGGGGAAAGTGGAGTAATGAAGGGAAGGTACCATTTGTTATACAAGTGACAAACAAATCACATTATCATTATTAAACCCCTCTAAAATTTCAGTTGTACTTATGTATATCTACACTGAACCCTAATTATGACTTCCTGCTATAACAGGTTTCCTAATGCAAATATGACATCAAAGGAAATTAATCCTTTAAGAAATTCATTAATGAATTCTGTATATTAATTATCACAAAATATATGGCAACTATTTGTTGGTACAGAGAACAATAATCTGAAAGAAACTGGTAGCTACTGTATAAACACAAATTAGCACACGTGCAGAAAAATAAAAATGGCATAAAGAACAGCAACTATGAAGATGCATTACTCGTACTCTTTAGTCAACTGAAGTATTAAGATTTTTCACATCTGCTTGAACTTCAAATGAAACTAACCAGCAAAGAGGGGACAAGACTGATTTGGCATTTTTTTCATTTATAGGAAAAATTTACTACTGTATGGTGAAAGCTTAGTGATGAGTATAAGAAGAGAACTTTCAAGTATATGTGAAAAATATTGGCATTCCAATCCATAAGATATAATGTACTCTGTAAACAGCTCAACAGATATAATGTCCTCTGCGAACAGTTCAAGTAAAACAAATTGCCAATATATATGGACTGGTAATGGTGCTGGCCCTTACCTTTACGTGACAGAGACAAGGAGCGGCGCTGAAGGGCTGACCGCTTCTCAGTTGCCACTGATCAACCAGGCCACAAAAACAACATGCATTTTTTGGTTAGTTCAATGCCATGCAGGTTGCAAATCAAAACACTAAGTGAATACAGATCACTGAATATGCAAACATGGAGGCCAAATCTGAGTTAGAATCTGAACACAATACTACATTCATAAGCCAAGGTGCACAGATTGTATTGAAAGCAATAAATGCAAAGACACTGCTAAAAGAATTTTTGTACCTAGAATAAAGGCACTAAATTTAAAAATCAGCTGAAACAGTATATAACTATATGAAATATGTTAGTAAGATTTATACTATGTGACTAAGAAAGAAAATTCACTAAAAGAAAAATTAACTACTTGCATAATAACTCAGAGAAACACCACCATTTGTACTAATTATAAGAAAATTATATTGTATTATTCACAGAAAAAATTCTACAGGCATTTCTGCAGTTGTCTCCAAAAAAGCTTTACATGGTGGCAATAATATAAACTCACTTAATTAAGTCTTAATATGAAGTAACTCATTTTAAAAACTAAAATATATAAAAAACAAATAGTGTGAATATTTACTATACAGAAACTAAGTAATTTAATCCTAGATACAAGTACCTTCATTCTTATAAAATGCAGACTTAGAACGCTCCAGTGTGGGACTTGGCTCCCGTGCCTTCACTCCATCATCTTCTGCTAATACAAGGAGCAGTACAGACTTCAGTTAGCACACTAGACTACACAAAATTATCAATACAGAGGGTTAATGAACTGAAACAAATACTCATGCTCATTAAAGAAATACATATAAAAAAAAAAAGTCACATGCTATGTCATGAACTCAAAGTATTCCTTAAGATTTCAAACTACTGTACTATACAGAATTCAAACTTTAACAAAGCCAATCATGCACATACACAAATCTTGATCATGCACATGGGACACATACAAATACAATACCATCACCTACAAATCCTGCAAGACAAAAAACTTGTTTGTGGAATCATCACAATTCTTACCAATGTCAATACATATATTGCAGACATGTTGTACTCCCACAAATAAGAGCATAAAAAATGATGAAAATAAACATTACATTTCATATTTATCAACCGTTTTATAAAAATTATCATATTCCAATTAAAAGTACCTTAAATGTCTTGAAAGCTGTAATTATATAATGCATTATATACAATGTAAAAAGAGCTCTGGTAGTATGAAATTAAATGGTTAATACATTCCATACCCTTTAAAATGTTAGCATTACAGGGAGTTAAAATGCAAATCACAAGCACCATCAAAACATCTCCTGTTATGCTACAAAAAAGTTGCTGCAAATTCCTTCGACAGAAATTTTTCTATTAAGAAACTATGTGAAGAAAAACCAAGTTGGGAGTTAACACAAATTCCAGTACCTTAATGCACCTTCTGGCAACCTCTGAATCAGAAGACTTGTCAAGTAAATAACATATTCAAATGCTTTGAATGTGACTCAAGAAAAGTATAGACAATAAAATTAATCCTGCAATTCAATATCAAGGCATTAATGACCACTAAAACCATATTAGCTCTATTTCCAAATAGCATCTGACTCTATTTAAAGAAATTTCTAAGCATATATTAAAGAAAAAGCAAATATTTTTATCACGAATAAAAATAAAAATATAAAATTAAGCGCTAAACCCAAAGGGGTATCATGAATTTTAAATAACGAAAAACAGGAAGGATATAAAATTAAGTCCCACACCAGTTAAAAAAGATTGTCTTCCCACATCCATTTAAAAGATTGTTATACTACGAGATTCTGACTTCAGATGAACCATAAGCTGTACCCCACCTGTCCACCACGAGCACCAGGCTATCACTTTGGTTATCACTAATTAGGCACACGCAGGCATGTCTAACACTGCTCTGGCCACAGGTTTGTAATTTGGACTTTATTAAGTGATTCTTTTTTAAGAAAATCATTTGGATTAATTATCCTGGCTGTCCTGTGCAACCTCAGCCAAAACTGTGATAGAATTTCTTATGTAAGTAAATGCTCAGCTGGGGGTACACATGGATGTGGTCTTACTGGACCGTGATGCTGCCTTCAGCATCTTCTGAATTCCACGGGTGAGGGAGTTGGTGCGGGAAGTAGACAGGCCCTCACCTGCCGGGACAGTGGGAGAGCAAGACAAGGCATCTGAACCAGGGGAAGATGTCATCTCCCCCTGATACCAGACTCCACCCTCTGTTTGCAAGGAGGGCTGCGGGTCTTCTACAGGGAAGCCATCTGGGGGAGGGATATTATCACACAATACCAGTCAGGCTCTCAATATCAGCATACCTTACAGACACTGGCCTTAACTAACCTTGAAGGTGAGAGAAACAAACCTCATGAAAACTATTCTGAGTTACAAGTACAGAGCCTACATTTACCATCCATGTTAAGATACACTTAAAGCAAGGATCATTAGCAGAAAGTAAAAGTTTAGTGATAATGAATATTTCAAGCATCAGTAACAGTCAAATAAAATTAGTTATTTGTCATCAGTTCCCAGTTGACAACAAATGATTCACAGTAGAAGAGATTATAACCACACTCCTTCACACTAAGAGGTACCAGTGCAGGGTACTACCCATGTCCAATACTAACTACTATTAACTTCACATTATGCAGTAATATTCATAAAGGTCCCATATAAATCAAACTGGACAGTAACTTTCAGTAACAAATTGTGTGTGTATATATGGCACATGAATACAGTAGTAGTATCAGATAAGGTGGTTTAATGTGGTCCCTGCACTCAGTCCTACAGGTTACCTCTCACTGGCAGTGTTTTCATAGTTGCCTGGACCCTCTGAGGGGGGCCGACAGGTACCCCTGGGCCCATGGCGGGCTTCTTCGGAATGTTGGGTTTAGGGGGAAGACTTGGCTTTTGGCGAACAACCCCTTCTCCATCTATCATATGATATAAAGTCATTGGGGAGGGGGAACTCTACAATTATCTACAAAAGGAATGCATCACATGACAACTTTTAGGCACTGAATAAAAGGGATTAAAAATTACTGTAATATTTTTGTTTCTAGAAAAATGGCAAACAATTCTTGAGGTAACAAAGTGCTTAAGACATTTTAATTTCAAAACATATAATCAGTATTGTATGTACATGTGTAAAATATATCTAACAACCTGTTACACTAAACAAGTAATAATGGAATACATTCCAAAATTTATTCACAAAAAATACATTGTTACAAGTGAATGCTAAGCTATATTTATATAATAAAATATGCTTCAGTTAGGTTTAGGTTACAAGCTGCATCAGAATTAGTATAAAACTAAATTTCTAACAAGCTACGAAGAGAAATTTCTTATAAAAAAATATCCTATGGACATTACAAGAACCTTCAAGTTAACCATCATGCTTAAGACAAGTACCAGGTGTCAGTCACGGACTTGCGAGCCAAAGCTATGATCTGGGGGATAAATTTAGAGACGAGAACAGAAGCAGCCATACAGAATTTTGACTACAGAGCAGGAACGTACAGATGAGTTTTACACGATGGTGACCTTGGGGGAGTCATCCAATAAGATGTCTGCCTTCAAAGATTTTGTTATGAATTCTTAAACCACCATCAAATATATATAAACAGATAATTCCTGGATTATTTTTATTTTAATTTTTTTATACACAGAAGAGATCTGAATACTTTCTAAATGAAAAATCTCTACTATTTAAAATAAAATCTCATTTGAAACATTTCTCTAAACACTGACTAGGTTAAATTAATCTAGGTGAAGATTATGTGGCAGTTTAAGAGTTCTGGTAGGTGTTATGGACGATATATCCTTCCAAGTTTCACCATCATCAATCAGCCTTAATGGGCGCATCCCACACACTACTTATTAGCAGAGAAACTTGAAACCCTACTGACCATCGCTCAGGACGACAGATTGTGCTTTGCTTGCTCTTGGCGCCTGTTTTGTTTCCACCTTCAGCACCGTAGCACTGGATGCTGTGTGTACCAATTATATGCTATCATCATCAAGCCATTTTATTCCTCCACCAAGCACACTCCCTTGTGCAGAAATTTGCTTAAAAATGTATTATATACAATATTTGTTAAGACTTTAAATATTACAAAAAAGCATTATGAGTGACATGCAACTAAATTCATGAGTAAAATTTAATACCTTTAATACCAAACCCCCAAAACTTTAATCAAATTACCATTAACAGCACACACTTAAATTAAAATAAGCAACAGTACATAATCAAAATCAGTGATACAATCCAGTGTATTGTATAAATAAACGCTGTGATCTAATGATAGAAAATCTTCTAAAAGATATCCCGTCATGAAATTATGGGAAGGAGGGATGGGTAATACCCCGTTATAAAAATATATATACTATATATATACTATATACATATATACATAAACAGAGAGGGGGGAGGGGGAGCAAGGGAGGGAGGGGAGCAAGGAAAGGAGGGGGAACAAGGAAGGGGAGTGAATGAGGCAGAGAAATAAAGTCAGTTGACCAAATGAAATTGCTGGTCCACAGATGGCTCCAACTTCATCCTGTTTCCTATCTGTACATCTCATAACAACAAAAAGGCTTTAAAATGAGCTGATGTAGGTAACAGCTCTTAGCTTGTAAATAAAATTAGGAACCTTTAACCTAACCTTGTAAAAATCTGTGTACATATACAAAAATCCAGAGAGGAGAAAGAGGAAAAAGAAGGGAGGAGAAAGAGAAAGGACAGAAGGAAAGAGAAGAAAAAAGAAAAGAGGGAAGGGAAGAGAGAAAAGAGATAGAAGAGAGGAAAAGGAAAGAGGAGAGAGGTAAGAATAGAGAGAATGAGAGAAATAATAATTATATAATTATATAAAAAAAAAATGGGGGACGATGGAAAAAAAAATACAAGGAGAGAATGGGGAAGGAACAAAAGCTTAGGGCCAGGCTTTAAAATAATGTTATGAAAACTGCTCTTAGCATTAAAAACACTTGGTTAAATTGCTTCCTTCAGCATGTGAAAAACCTACTGTAAAGAGTCTTTAGCTATATGTAAAAAAAAAAAAAAAAAAAAAAAAAAAAAAAATTAGTTACCGGGTACAGGTTAACTTATCAAATGTCAGCCATTATTTAAATAAGAACTAAGGACAAGCCTATGTTGTAGACAACTTCCTGGGTATATGGAATAAAAAGTCACAATACCTTGGCTGGAATACACAAATAACCCACACTTAGGAGATAAACTTGTGACAATGTTTCTGGCCTCCTTCCCTTCTACCTTCAGTGCGACTTGCTAATGGTCCAGATCAGACCAAAATATCATCACAAGCTTCAGTTTCCTAACTGTGGGTTATTTATGTTGGAGATAAGCTTAATCAAATCAGCCATATTAGCACCAAAATACAAGCATGTACATCCTACTACAGAGGGGCAAGTGAGGAAAAGGAAGTATTAACAATTTAGAATGCTTGTTATAAAGTTGTTCAGCACTACATAACAATTACACACTTGTATGTATACTAACCACCCCCCACACTAAAATTTACCCAAGCAAGTAGAGCCATTCACACAGGAACACAAAACAAAACAATAAACAGTTTCATAATATAGACTGAAACATCACACAAATCCAAAACTAGTAGTAGTGATACTGTTCCTGACAGCAGAGATCCAGATTTGACATAAGGGGCTCTCAAACTGATATTCAGAACATCCCAGTGCAGGACTTACAGGATCCTATGCCCAATTATTTCAGTTCTTCACCTTGTCACCCATCCTACAACTAATTCTCCTATTTACCCTCTTTCTCTTGCTGTGATGGGACAAAATGGCTCACACTTTAGTATTCTGTTGACTTATTTGTTAAAAGTTTTTTCCAAGTTAAAGGTCTACAATAAAGGCTTGTTCTTATACGATGTTTCTTCTCATCTTTGTCAGCAGGTCTTGCCATATGTTCTTCATCCATTATACTAGTAGTACATATGCAAAGCCTGTTGATGCAGAGTATTTCTGGCAAACTAAACTTGAACTATAATACTAAATGAATATAAACATTGTACACATATGTATATATATGCCTCAGTGGGATATGGCCGGTTTGTTGGAAAAAAAAAACAAAAAACATTAGGGATGCGAAGACAAAGAAAAAGTAATTCTGACTAAAATAAACACGGAGGACAGTAGGTGCCCACGTACGTGTGCGTGTGGTGTGCGAGCATACACATTTTCATGCTTCTTGTGCATGTGCACACATGCATGTGTAAATTCAAGTTTAGAGAAATAGAGCCATCAAATAACTACTGAATTTTATATTGTAATAAAACTACAGTCTCTTTACTAGTTACATTTTATAGTAATAACTGTAGATCATAATATATACTAAAGTAAGTCTTTATGCAATTTTTACCACTATGAAATTCAAATTTGTGTTATTAAAATCTAAACAGATTAACTTACCCAAGATTCACTACAATTTTAAATCTCTTACAATATGATCCATTTTCTTTTCTTAGTTTCCCATCTTAAATAACACTAGAAATTCTCAGTATGAACTAATCATGAATTCCACCAGACTGATGTAGAAAAAACAATCGCCAAAAATAATTATCAACTTGGTATATATTGCTTTTCTACCCATCAAAAATTTAAAAGGCAGGATATGTTTTAAATGAGCATATAATGTAGTGACATGAATGCTGGTAAACAAGCTAATACGTACATGAACTGAAGTAGAAATAATGTCAATGATAATTTTTTTATGGAGTGCCTCATAATTTCAGATTTACTATTAAGTAACAGTAGTTAATCAGACTAACCTTCTTGATCAGAAGTAGGACTGGTGGGGGCTGTAGTGTTGAGAGTAGAGTCTTGCATAGAGTCATCCACGACATCTATCATTGCTCGTTCAGGCATAATATTCATTTTCTCTATTTCTATTTCCTCAACTGAAATATTTCAATGCACAGCTATCAGGAACAGTACTGACATATATTCCAAATAAACGTATTGCATTTTTTTACACTCCTGCCATCTCCCACCAAGGCAGGGTTACCTGACAAAGAAAAAAAATACTTTCACTGTCACTCATTCATTCACTGTCTTGCCAGAAGAGTACCAACATCACAGTTCAGATGACCCTCCAAACCACAGCATCCCCATCTCTCCCGGAGAGTGCAGGCACTGTACTCCCTACCTCCAGAACTCAAACTTGGCTAACCAGTTTTCCTGAATACCTTCATAAACATTAGCTTGTTCACACTCCAACAGCAAGTCAAATCATAAAACCACCTGTCTCCATTTACTCTTATCCAACACATACAAGCCTGTTGGATGTCCAAGCCCCTAGGACGAAAAACCCTTACCTCCAATCTTTTCTTCCCTCCACCCCTGATATATATATATATATATATATGCCCTCATACTCATCCTATTTTTTCTGAATTCTCTAAATGTCCAAACCATATCAACAACCCCTCCTCAGCCCTCTGGATAATAGTTTTGGTAATTCCACATCTAATCTCCAAACTCCAAATTCTCAGTATAATATTCACACTACACATTGCCCTCAAATATTGCATCTTCACTGCCTCTAGCCTTCTCCTCACTGCAAGATTCAAAATCTATGCTTTACACTTAAACAGTGCTAGTACTACTAAACTCTGGTACATTCCCCCTTTTGTCCCCATGGATAAAGCTGTCTCAACATACTGCATATTATAGAAATAAATGAAATAAATGAAGGGAGATGAATGGTTTTTGGGACTTGATGAGCTGTTGGAGTGTCAGCAGGTTAATATTTTGTGAAGGGATTCAGGGAAACCAGTTAGCTAGACTCGCATAGCGCTCTGAACGTAAATCAACGTTTAATTTTTCATTCCTTCAAAATTGGGCGATAGGCCTGAGTCGCCTAGACACGAGAGAATGGGTCTTAACACTTGGTGTGCACAGTATTAAAAAAAATCTGGAACCACTTAGTACCTTGTAGGAGCACCACTTCAATTGAGCACCAGCTACAGCAAATAGTGTGGCAAACACCAGGGATTCACTGATATCATGTCGCATTAACATTCCCCTTTTAAGAGGAAAGTAAAAATAGGTTAGATAAATACATGAGTGGGTGTGTGTGAGAGAGAGTTGGACCTGACTAGCTTGTGCTACTAGGTCTGATGCTGTGCTCCTTCCTTTAGTGGATGTGACCTGACTAGGTGGGTCATTGGTCTAAGCTACAGGGTGACATGGACCTGCCTTGCATGAGCCAGTAGGTCTGCTGCAGTGTTCCTTCCTTCTTATGTTCTTGTGTATTCAGCCGGCTGGCTGGCTGGCTGGCTTTGGCTCTATGTCTATATCTCTGTCTGTCTCTTTCTCGCATGTACACATAAGTACAGCTTTTATGCATATAACCCAAAAATTCCAGGCTATACTGTGCTTGTAGATATAAGATATAACCATGATGCAATATGCATTTTTACTTGCTCAGGAATCAGGGAGCGGCTCATAAACCAACAGTTTTGCGAACTGCTCCATAAGACAGAGACAAGCAGACAGAGACAAGCAGACAGAAACACACACACAGGCAGACAAAGATAAGCAGAGCAAGACAGAGATACACAGATAGACAGACATGTTTGTGTGTAACAGTGAAAGCAAATAAAACTAGGGTTCCCTGGAGCAGTGCGAATTTATCACATGTCACTGGGTTGTCAGCAGTTTACTGACACTTGTCGTAACACCATTCTTCAAGGAGTTTCATACAGTCTACTCAAGGCACACACAGGCAGACAAAGACAGATAAGCAGAGCTAGACAGAGATAGACAGATAGACAAACATGGTTGCATGTAACAGTGAAAACAAATAAAGCGAGGGTTCCCTGAGTGCACATTCATCAAGTGTCACTGCCTGTCAGCAGTTTACTGACACTTGTCATAACATCATGCTTCAAGGTATACTCCAGCATGTCTTAAACATTGCTGAGACCTATAAATACTTTGTATACATTTCTAGACAATAGCAAATGACCCAGGCAGGTGAAAATGTTCACCTGTCGGTGTGATTGTGACTACCTGAGTACTCTTTCAGTATATAATATTAGTGTCAGAACAAAGATTGTCTATTAAATCACAAGAATTAATTTAAATTGTAGTTATCAGAACATAAAAAGTACTGTATATAAATTAAAATAAAAATGAGAAAAAAAGGTATAACGGCAACACTTCTGCAAGTGGTAGGAGTCAATGTAGCGGTCAAGCAAGCATCCAGTGCCAACTTCACAGGCTTATATCTCGGTAAGTACTGATACTAAAATTTTTTTTGTTAATCCTATAACATGTAGAAAAATGAGCTCTTCATTTAAAAAAAAAAAAAAATTCAAAATATTCGGAGCTCTATGCGAGTGAACGTAGATCTACATTTGGACAGTTCAACCCGTAAACAGTCCAAGCAGATCTACGTTCATATGCGTAGTACTCCAAAAGTAGATCTACGTTTTTTTTACATATTTTCAAATACAGTGGACCCCCGGTTTGCGCTATTAATCCGTTCCTGAGAGCTCATCGTAAACCAAAATTATCGGAAAGTGAATCAAATTTCCCCATAAGAAATAATGGAAATCAAATTAATCCGTGAAAGACACCAAAAAGTATGAAAAAAAAAAACTTTTACCACATGAAATATTAGTTTAACTCTTTGACTGTCGCGGTCGTATATATACGTCTTACAAGGTAGTGTTTGACGTATATATGCTAATAAATTCTAGCGGCTTCAAATCAAGCAGGAGAAAGTTGGTAGGCCCACATGTGAGAGAATGGGTCTGCGTGGTCAGTGCGCACCATATAAAAAAAATCCTGCAGCACGCAGTGCATAATGAGCAAAAAAAAAAAAAAATCCGACCATTTTTTTAATTAAAATGCCAAATTTGTGGTCTATTTTCATATAGTATTTATGGTTGTATTCTCGTTTTCTTGGTCTCATTCAATAGAATGGAAAACATATTATAGAAATAGAAGTGATTTTGATTGATTTTACTATAAAAACAACCTGGAAATGGAGCTCAAAGTAGGGGAAATGTTTGATTTTTGACGATCTTCAAAAGTAAACAAATGATGTCAGTGTCCAATAAATGTCCAACTAGCCATTCTAACATGAATGGGATGATGTTATTTATACAATTATTACAGTACTGCAGTAGTCTGCATAACAGTAAATCTTCTATTTTTTGTTTGAATAAAAATTAAAAATAGAAAGCAAGAGTAATATCAGAGGGGCCTGGAGGCATGACTGATGAACAAAGAAAATGTTATTTTAGAGCCAGGAATGTCTACATTGTTCATTCCGGACCTTATTTTGAAATACTCATATTTTTTAATTTTCGTGAAATTGGCCAAATTGCAAAGTTCTGACCACTTTATTGGGTAGTTGAAAAGATTCTTTATCATTTCACAAGAATTTTTTTTTTTTTTTTTTTTTTTAAATTTTGCAACACCAGGAGACGCCTCAGGATTGAGGGTTGCGACAGTCAAAGGGTTAATGCACACAAACTGAAGACATGCACAGTTTGTAGTATGTACTCTACTAACAATAGAATACATGACACTTACCTTTAATGAAAATCTGGTGATGATTGATGGGATGGGAGGAGGGGAGAGTGTCGAACCTATTGTTTAGAAGGGGAATCCCCTTCCATTAGGACTTGAGGTAGCAAGTCCTTTTCCGGGGTTACTTCCCTTCTTTTAATGCCACTAGGACCAGCTTTATAGTCACTGGACTTCTGTCGCACAACATATCTGTCCATAGAGGCCTGTACCTCTCGTTCTTGTATGACTTTCCTAAAGTGCTTCACAACAGTGTCATTGTACAGATTGCCAACACGGCTTGCAGTAGCTGTGTGAGGGTGATTTTCATCAAAAAAGCTTTGCACTTCAAGCCACTTTGCACACATTTCCCTAATCTTTGAAGTAGGCAACTTCAATTTCTTCATCCCCTCCTCTGAAGCAGTTTCCTCAGGTCTGGCCTCTTGCTGTTGAAGATGATCTAGCAGCTCATCAGTGGTTAGTTCGTCACTGTCCTCCTCCACCAACTCTTCTACATCCTCCCCACTAACCTCCAACCCCAAGGACTTCCCCAATCCCACAATGGATTTCTCAACTGGCATAGGATTCCCAGGGTTAGCCTCAAACCCTTCGAAATCCCTTTTGTCTACACATTCTGGCCACAGTTTTTTCCAGGCAGTGTTCAAGGTCCTCTTAGTCACTCCCTCCCAAGCCTTACCTATAAGGTTTACACAACTGAGGATATTAAAGTGATCCTTCCAAAATTCCTTTAGAGTCAATAGTGTGTCTGTGGTCACTACAAAGCACCTTTCAAACATAGCTTTTGTGTACAGTTTCTTGAAGCTGGAAATGGCCTGCTGGTCCATGGGCTGCAGGAGAGGAGTGGTATTAGGAGGCAAAAACTTGACCTTAATGAAGCTCATGTCCCCAGAAAGTCGCTCTGCCAAGTCTGTAGGATGACCAGGGGCATTGTCTAATACCAGGAGGCACTTAATGTCTAATTTCTTTTCAATTAGGTAATTTTTCACATTGGGGGCAAATGCATGGTGTAACCAGTCGTAGAAAAAGTCCCTAGTGACCCATGCCTTAGTGTTTGCCCTCCACAGCACACAAATTAGCCTTGAGAATATTCTTTTGCCTGAATGCTCTGGGAGTTTCAGAGTGATACACCAATAAAGGCTTCACTTTGCAATCACCACTAGCATTAGCACACATCAGAAGAGTAAGCCTGTCTTTCATAGGCTTATGTCCTGGGAGTGCCTTTTCCTCCTGAGTAATGTAGGTCCTGCTTGGCAATTTCTTCCAAAACAGGCTTGTTTCGTAACAATTAAACACTTGTTCAGGTTTCAAGTTTTCACTGTCTATGTAATCCTTGAATTCCTTCACATATTTTTCAGCT